TTTACAATGACCCCATATCACACATTGTTTGCATTTGGTTTTACGCATACGAGCTTTATTTCATTATTTAAAGTACGTGTTTGTGTATGTGTGCATCGGCACATTTAAAATCGAAAATTGAGTTTTACATTTCAGTGCTCGTTGGAAGTTTCCATCATTGAAAAGTTAATTTTAAAGAATACTCTTAATTAACATTCGATCAAAGTAACTTAAAATGTAATGTGTGTTTGTTGGCATCTGATGATATGGGCCATGGTTCAGCATAAATGCACATCGATAAATGGCATTTGGCGCGTATATACCGCACAAATAAACACAAGAAAAAATGTAAAATATATTTTTTTTATTGATGGCAACTTATAGACAGTGTCAGCTCTTCACACCGTTTGCATATACCATGATTTAAGTCACATAATAAAATTGCATTGCCATGAATTGCAATGGCTGTGTGGGCTAATGTATATTGTTATTATTGTAAAGTAAGTAAGTATTGTGTCTGCGATATTACACACATTCACATTTTGAAGATCCATTAAGGCAGTTATTACAGACGAAAGGCGACCTTTTTTATATCGTCACCGCCAGAGCGATTCCACAAATGATCAACAACATACACTCACACACATACACGCACATCGCACATACACATCAACCAACGAACGGACAAACGTGTTGGGGGCTTTTCTGCATCGAAGATAGATAGCAAAACGACCCAAAGCAGCTGACAATATATGTACTTACACGCATTAAATTATAACCGAAAACACATTTCGTTATAAATTTTAAACCAACGTCTGTCGCTATCGCTTCCTCCCGTTGAATGGCATATGTTTTCTCGTATTTTCTTGTCGTCGTCATTTTCTATCTGCCATCATCTCACATTCCATCTTTCTCACTCATTCTCTGTATCCATCTCGGTGGGAGCTCCGAATGGATGGTAAGTGTGTATAATATTGATAGAGAGTGGCGAAGGGAGACACCTTTCATCGTTTTGAAATAGGTTTATTGCACATTCAAAAACCATTATTATGGGACATTTATCTACTTTTAAGTAATAAGCGATAAAATTTATGTAAAACAAACACGGTAAAAGCGCACGATAAATGGGCCACAACGCAAGATATATACGTATCGAGACAAGGAGAGAATATGGTGGGTGGATGGAGGAGATGAAACACTGACAGAGAAACGAAAAAAAAAGATCGACATCCAAATCAGGTTACAAGGTAACTCCTGTACTTTGAGCTTAAATTTGGTTGTTAATTCTATTCGTCTTTGTCCACTTTTTACGACCTCGCATTAGATTTGAGCATGTTTTTGCAACTATAGTATATTTCTTTATCGCCCGTATTCATTCATTGAAAGGAGTAAGAATGTTACCACTTGTCGTTTGCCATGCGTATGTGAAATGGACAATTTCTGCCCATCGGTGTTTGAGTTTTTATTTTCATAATTCTTTCTTGGCATCGAAAACCATCAGCTGTTCGGATTTACTTGGCCATTTAATATGATGCATTATGATGATGGGCTAACAATATATAGATTGTTATATTTGAGAAAATGTTTCGAGGTTGAAGTTATAAGTCGTGACCAAAAAGTATTTCGAGACCTTTCTCTACATACGCATGACTCGTTTGCCCCTTGTAACTTTACCGCATTCAATGCCGCAATAAAAGTTGAATGTGAACATTTGTGTTGTTTAGTGATTCATTTTTTTGCGTTCGTTGTATTTTCATAAGTTTTTTTGTTTAGTCAAAATAATTTGTGCTGTTGGCTGTTCTGGTATTTACAGTATTTGTAAAAATTGTCGTCATTACCATTATCGTCGTATACTTGGTCGATTGTGCGTCAACACTTTTATTAGTTTCGAAAAATGTTCCGCATGAACATTTATGGTAACCTCTCGATAAAATTCGAACGAAATATGTATAACAAAGCATAACGATCAGGTAGAATTTGTGACACGGTAAATACTCGTATAATCTAGATCCAATGTCCATATATCGTTTATTTTGCCATTAGAAAACTAAACGAAGTTGCCAAACATAGAAGAGGGAGCACGTAAGAGAAAGAGTTGTTAAAACTACAGCCATTTCCATATAGTTTCAAATGGCTCTGCGTTTGTTTTATCAAGCCTGTATAAATTCATTCGATGTACGGTAACAAAATCAGATATTTGAGTGGAATTATAACGATCAATTGTTTGCATGTTTTCATTCGAAATGTATACGTTGCACAGGCGTTGACAAGAACAACATTTGCCAGTTATGTATGGGTGAAAGAGAGAGAGAGAGAGAGAGAGAGAGAGAGGAGGAGGAGGAAAAGAGAACGTTATTTTGTTATTTGCTTGAACAAATACCGAAAATTAACAATACGCAATTCAAAAGCTTACCTTTCTCTCTCTCTCCCCCAAACAAAAGAACATTTTCGCCAAAAATGTGAACGAACTGCAAACATTTTGAAACAATTTATTATTTATTATAACATAATTCAAAGTAGTTGCAGCTACAAAATACCTGAACTTGGAATATACCATTCAAAATTTTACAATTCAAATCTTGTATAGAGATGTAGATACACACTCTCTCTCTCATTCACACACACACACAGGTGTGTGAAGTTTTTTCCTCGACATTCGAATATTTAAATGGGACCTTCACATAAAAATCGTTCGTAAATAGTTCATTGCGTTCCTTTAAGGAAAAAAATAGTTCGTTTTTGGGGGCCGAGATAATTTTTGTACTAAAAACCATTTTTGTAAAATTTCCGCAAATAATAAAATTTTCAAAAAATTCTTTCACCAAAAAATCGTTCGTAAATAGTTCGTTCCGAATCGAGGAGAATATTTGCACTTTTTTTTAATTTTTGCAATTTTTTTTCAAAATCAAAATTTTTGATTTTGAATTTTCGAGCTCGAAAGAGATATGAAAAAAATTCTTTCACCAAAAAATCGTTCGTAAATAGTTCGTTCCATATCATATGATTTTATGGGATATTTTTTATTTTTTTTTTCGAAAACTTGAACATTTTGATTTTTCCCAAAAAATCGAAAAAATGAATTAAATTCAATAAAATAAAACTGTCAAAAAATAGTTCACAATTAGTTCGTTCCATACATATAATTTTCTCACTTCTAACGTTTTTATTTAATTTTAAATGAACTCATATATTACATAGAACCTTCACATTCCTACAAAAAACTTGTAAAAATACATAAATTATAAAAGTTATATATAATTGTGACGAACTATTTACGAACTATTTTTCTGCATCATTTATTTATATTTTATTTAAAAAAAAAATTTAGTACAAATTCTTCATATAAAGATTTTTCGAAAAAATTACAAATAATTTATCGAAAGCTATATATATTTCAAACGAACTATTTTCGAACTATTTTTCTGCATCATTCGTTTTATATTTTATTGAAAAAAATTTTTAGTACAAAATCTTTCTATGCAATTTTTTTGAAAAAAATACAAATAATTCATTCAATTTTATATATATTTAAAACGAACTATTTCCGAACTATTTTTCTTTGTTATAGAAAGAGAGAAAGAGCCAAACGTATATATGCCTCAATTTAGTGTTTGCTGATGTAGTTTTGTATGTATACAGCCCATTCAAATACACCGGCTACGTTTCACATGCTATGTTTCTTTTCAGTACTTGATTTAGTACTTTTTCGGTATTTCATTATAATTTATTTCTGACATTATTTCGAAAAATTGATCAGTAATGGCACTTCAAAATACCTTAAGTAAGTGGTGATTTATTTCAGTATATTAACGTGTATTTCACATATATTTTTGTTCATGAAATTTAGAAAGAAAAAGAGTTGTTTTTAACATATTTACCAATTTTTGTTCATAAATACTCTTTCAATACTCTTTCAAATACTGAACAAATAGAAAAAATACTGAAAAGAGAATACAAAGTATTGAAAGAGTATTTATGAACAAAAATTGGTAAATATGTTAAAAACAACTCTTTTTCTTTCTAAATTTCATGAACAAAAATATATGTGAAATACACGTTAATATACTGAAATAAATCACCACTTACTTAAGGTATTTTGAAGTGCCATTACTGATCAATTTTTCGAAATAATGTCAGAAATAAATTATAATGAAATACCGAAAAAGTACTAAATCAAGTACTGAAAAGAAACATAGCATGTGAAACGTAGCCGGTGTATTTGAATGGGCTGTATACATACAAAACTACATCAGCAAACACTAAATTGAGGCATATATACGTTTGGCTCTTTCTCTCTTTCTATAACAAAGAAAAATAGTTCGGAAATAGTTCGTTTTAAATATATATAAAATTGAATGAATTATTTGTATTTTTTTCAAAAAAATTGCATAGAAAGATTTTGTACTAAAAATTTTTTTCAATAAAATATAAAACGAATGATGCAGAAAAATAGTTCGTTTGAAATATATATAGCTTTCGATAAATTATTTGTAATTTTTTCGAAAAATCTTTATATGAAGAATTTGTACTAAATTTTTTTTTTAAATAAAATATAAATAAATGATGCAGAAAAATAGTTCGTAAATAGTTCGTCACAATTATATATAACTTTTATAATTTATGTATTTTTACAAGTTTTTTGTAGGAATGTGAAGGTTCTATGTAATATATGAGTTCATTTAAAATTAAATAAAAACGTTAGAAGTGAGAAAATTATATGTATGGAACGAACTAATTGTGAACTATTTTTTGACAGTTTTATTTTATTGAATTTAATTCATTTTTTCGATTTTTTGGGAAAAATCAAAATGTTCAAGTTTTCGAAAAAAAAAATAAAAAATATCCCATAAAATCATATGATATGGAACGAACTATTTACGAACGATTTTTTGGTGAAAGAATTTTTTTCATATCTCTTTCGAGCTCGAAAATTCAAAATCAAAAATTTTGATTTTGAAAAAAAATTGCAAAAATTAAAAAAAAGTGCAAATATTCTCCTCGATTCGGAACGAACTATTTACGAACGATTTTTTGGTGAAAGAATTTTTTGAAAATTTTATTATTTGCGGAAATTTTACAAAAATGGTTTTTAGTACAAAAATTATCTCGGCCCCCAAAAACGAACTATTTTTTTCCTTAAAGGAACGCAATGAACTATTTACGAACGATTTTTATGTGAAGGTCCCATTTAAATATTCGAATGTCGAGGAAAAAACTTCACACACCTCACACACACACATGTTATGTAGTTGCATATTCATTGTATTCAGTATGGAGAGGTAAATCGTCGCATTTATTATTTTATGTTCATCATGCCATTTGGTTTTATATTTTGGTTTCCACACCACACACACGCAGCATCTTGCATAAATGCATTCAACTGTAATACTACATTGGGATGGTTGTTGATTGTTATTCGGTTTCAATGAAGACAAGAATATAACCAGCAAATTGGGTATGCATAAAAAACTGCAACGGAATCTGAGTGAAACAAGTGGGTGAAAAAAAATCTGATATTTATATTTGTGTGTATGTGAGAGATACACACAGAAAATGCTTGTTTTTAAGGATAATGATGGTTATTATTCTGAATACTTACTTCATTTTTATAGAATATAAACTTTTTGACGTCAATAGGGGTGCTAGTTTTGCGGTAATTTAAACCCGAGAGGATGGGAGAATGTGTAGGGATCAGCTTCATAAATTCCAGCTTCCGAGTGTCTCCATTACCCCTCTTTGGATAAATCTGAGAACGGACCTTCTGAGCAATTTTAAGAGCTGATTGCCTTTTTTAACCTTCGATTTTTATAGAGATGGACTTTTTTCTGGATTTTTGTTGTTACCATCTCCTAAAATCTTTGGCGTACACATTTTTGTGAGGTGTCATTTGAAAATCTTCAACTTCGATTGGGGCAATAAAAATTCATTTTGTGTAAATCTAAAACTAGATCAAAGTGATACGATAAGAAATGTTTAAAGAAACAATTTTAAAAAATGTCCGCCAAAAATTCCATAAAATTAATTAGATAGAATAATAAGCACAAAATCTAAGTACACAGAGTTTTGTGTGTGTAAAATTATGAGTGTGAAATGGACACTTGTTCGTATTTAATGAAGTTTTGTCGTTGTTTCAAAGCTTTGGATACATTGGATACATTGGAATCTATCCAGTTGTTGGTGTTTAAACAATAATAAATAAGACTTCATTAAAATACGCAAAATTTTCAATTCAGCCAAATGGTCAGAAGAATATACAAAGCGATTGAAACTTTTCGACTTAAAACTAGTTCACATGATTAAATTATGTATACACTTATGCACATACCCAATTTTTCCGTTTTTTCTTGTGAAAGGTTTGGAATGGTAACAATATCTTGAAGTGGCATACTTACATCCATCTGCAATATGTTGTGTGGTTGATGAAGCATGTTATTTGTTAGCACAACTCATCATCATGATAATGCGCTGCATTTAAATTTTCAGATTTTATGGCTTTCAGTTTTATTTCGCTTGAGTGTTGTTTTGTTCTATTTTGAAACTGGTTTCTGTCAATAATATTTGTTTTATGTCCAACACGAGAGAAATATCATTGAAAATAATGTGTGCATTACTTACGATTGAGATGACCTCCATTGCAATAGTCCCATCACTGTAATCATAATTTTTGGTTTTTTGTATGCTGGTTTTGAAAAACTAAGCTGATCGGCTTAGTATGAAAAATGTAAATGACACATTTTCACAATAATTAATATGAATTTGTGAAGATGGCGTTATTGAGGCCATAGTCTAAATCAAAACAATGCATACATGCAACAAAATCGTAACTAAAATAGAAAAAAAAACCGTTTCTCGTTGAATATAATAAAACCACAACGATGAAAACCGGAAAAAGAGGTATCAAAAGGTAACATAATATATATATGCTGTTGTTTTCTACTTCCAAAAGATAAATCTCGTTTAAATTCCATTAATATTTCGCATGTTACGAGATGAACTCATAAATTGAATATACTTTTCATCTAAATAAATGTAGTGCACGGAAATGTTTGCGTTTAGGCTTGGAAATTTAATTTATCAAAATGAAATAATTAATTCAGGATGTAAAATACAAATACTTTAAACACTCTCTTTCTCTCTTCCATCCCATGTGATTATTCACGCACAATTTTCCTGGTGAATAGTTTTACATAGTTTTTGGGGCTGGACTTGAATCAAGAGTCAATTATGTGACCCACACATAAATTGTACAGCAATTCAGTGTGTTGCGAATGAGAGGCGAAAATTGGCTCGACTAGATTAAGTCCTTGCAATAACAGGTTTTCCGTTTAAATCGGATGGTGTACATGAAATGTATATGTGGAATGTGAACGGATTATATTGATTTGTTGTTGGAGAGGCCAAGCTAAAGAGAAAAGCAGAGACAAAAATAGATTTAAAAAAAGCAACAATACAACATGAATATGAACTAAATTCGGAAGCTAACTTCAGCCATTGTTTATCGTAATAATAAATAGTCGAATTGGCTTATGCTGTGACTGGAATATGAATTCCATTTCCGTTGTTTGTCATTTAATATCACAACATTTAAATGGATGAATAAACTGTAGTTATATTCAAATTATGAATTACAATAACTACATTGGAATCTGTGGAAATGACGATATGACACGAACAACGAACGAGAATGAAAAAGAAAATATGTGCGTGCGCTTTTAACTATTCTTGCTAATGGCCAACAATATTTCACATAAAAGATGAATGTGGCGTGACGTTGCTTTTTATGACGCATTTCTTTATGCCGCTTAAATATTCAGAGAAAGTGCATCATTCGGATTTGCATACAGACACGAGGAAACTGACTAAGTGAGAAACATACAGTGACTATCCACCAAAAACTTTTTCTTTGTTGTGATGCATATACTACTGTGTACAAATATGACCTTTTCGCACAAAGTATTTTTTCAAAGTATACCCATATAACTCATTTGCGGAGTAATTTTGTCGATGACGGGACTGTGCGGAGTTCGGCGGAGATAGCATGCAAATGCTGTGTGTACGAGTGCAACAGCATTCTTTGCTGTTCATAGATTTATTTTGTCCAATCGAAAATCTTAGTAGCCGTACACACAGCTAAATTAATAATCATCTGCGTAAGAATGATACACATAGAAGTGCTGTTACCCTCGTACACACAGAGTTTGTATGTCATCTCCGCCAAACTCCGCACAGTCCCGCCACCGTCAAAATTACTCCGCAAATGAATTATAATATAATAAAAACAATACTTTTTCGTTCGATTTTTTTTATATTTTAATTGAATCGACATTAAAGTTGGATATTCTTTTTATCATTCAACATTTGTTGTGGTTGCATTCATTTCATGCATTTAGAAATGTATTCATGCATTTTGAAAATTATTTGACTTGAAAGTCAATACCGTGCCGTTAATACCTTGCAATTCCGTATAAGTTCCTATGATTGAGTCATACCTAAAAGTAAAACAAATTTTTTTGAATTTGAATGGTTAAAATAAAGTAAAAGATATTATGTCTATTGAATATGGCGATAGGAGAAAATCTACTCTCCTATCTTTTATTCAAAAGGTTTAAATATATTTTCAAATAAAAGAAGTCGATCTCTATGAAATATGAAACGATATCCAGATGAAACAACAAAATTGTTAACGATTGTTTCAATATTTCTTAGTGACTCCAATAGTTTTACGTTAAATTTTATAATTACGGTATTGATTTGTGTGTGTAAAAGTTCAATGCATCGGCGAATTGATTCGAAAAGGTTGTTGAATAAATGCCTGTGGTGACGGTTAACTGATATTCGGTGAACATATCTTTTCTGCTCAAGATAAGATTGTCGCCAATTTTATTGCCAAAATAGTCGGAGTCCACCCACATTCCAGAGCATTTCAAGTATTTATTGGCCCCCAATATACCAAACACATCAGTAGGTTCCACCAAGCCAAGTACTTCTTGAGTCTTTTTAAGATTTCCGCTCTTTATCTAAACGGAAATAAAAAATTCACAATTAAATCATCGATTTTCTTGGAATTTACTTGCAAACAACAGTTACATGTTTTGTTGCATCAGTTGGTGCATCATTTTGTTGAACTACATAAAGTAAATTCAAGCCAATCATCTTATTTGTTCCCAATTCATAGGCTGCAATAGATATCTTCTGCTTCAGGATGGCCAGCAATTGTTTTTCAAGAAATTTTACGCTATTTGGATCGGACGCAACATCTATCGAATTTTAAATTATTAAATAATATTGTAACAAATTAGTAAAGAAAGACACCAAATGTATACATACGAAACATGGAATACAGAGGTTCTCCGGTCATATAAGATTTGGCCATTAACTCTGCTGCCATTTTATAATCATTCGGTGGGATATCTTTGATTGAATATTTAACATTGGTGTCGTGCGATTTAAGCCACTCTTTTCCTATTTTCGTTGGACGTTTCCATTCGGCCTTGCTCATTTCCGAAAAAAGTACTCCAACTAGTACCAAAATTATACATTTTCGATTCAACATTATTATTACGTTCTTTATTTCGCTGTTTAATTTTTTTTTATTAATTCAAGTGAATAGGCAAAGCTAACTAATGAATTTCCATTCAAATTTACTTTTTATAGGCGATAATTAATACATAGTTCTATTTTTTTAAACGTAGATATTTGTTCAATTATGTATTTGTACACGTGTGAATTGTTTTCTTATATTTTCAAGTCGAAAAACAACAAGTCATTCAAGCAAATTCCACCAGAATTTGAACAATTGTGGTCTCAATATTTCTTTTTTTTTTCTTCTAATTTTCTTTTAAATGATAGATTTCATTCTATGGGGCATGTTTTTCGACTCGATATTTTTTATTAGAATTTGACAAATAATATTGTATATATCGAATGTTTGAACAATTTCTCATCGACTTTCTGTTACAACATTGAAACACCTTCAATAACATTTATATGTATTAGTCTGGTTGAATTTCATTAAAAAAAAAACAGACAACGACTGAAATTAATTCGAATGGATCTTGTGACATAGGTCTACTTCTGCTTTTGTAAAAATTCATTTGCACAAAGCAATCATATTGATGAAATGAATCAACTGGCAATGATTACGCTTGATATTAGTTAAATGTTTACTGACCGCTTTGGTTAATAGGTATTTTTGTATGGAAGATGTTGGAGAAAATGCCAAGGGATATTCAGAGCTGGTTGTAGGTTTCCTTATAAGTATGCTTTTATTCCGTGTATTCAGGTGCGGGACTTGAAAAATATATGGAAAAAGTGTGGGCACTAACTAATGCATGGTGCCATTAACAGCTCTGGTCATAGACAAGGAATTGAATCTCAAATTTGATATTATATTTGTGCATCTTTTAATTTTTAGTGAACATATTAAAAATGTATGGTTTTCAACTGAACTGTTACTATTAGTATCTCTATTTTATTGTTTAGATAATATGAATTTTAATCTTAATGTTCTTATCAATTTATTGATTTTGGCGTGAGTTTAATTCGTCATTGTTGAAATATGATTATTTCTACTCGCTCTAACTAAAATTGATTAAGTGGCCGCTCTAACTTAGCACGAGAAGGGGCCGCTCTTATGTTAATGACAAGTACTGTCATTAAATGTCATTACTCTTTCTTCTTAAATAAAACGTTGAACACGACGAACGTGTATTAGAGTAAATTAATTATTTCTGCGTATGTTCCATTTTATTTCAGTTATATTGAATGATATTCTCAAATATGTAATGGAACTGCAGATACCGGGCGTTTCATATAAGTGGCTCACTCATAAAAAAAAAAACAAAATTAAAAATATCCATCACACAAGATTTTTGAAAATTAAAACTCACACTGTCTAGTGAGTCACTCATGTGAAACGCCCCGTATTGATATCGTACGTCTATCTATAAATAGCAGCAATTTGGTATATTTCGATTTTGTGTTATTTATTGAGTGCAGAACCATTCGAATATCTGAATAAAGACATTTATAATACAAAATTGGACGTCCAAATTCAGAAATGAATCTTAACTCAATCAACGTCACAAAATCGAAATATACCAAGTAGCCCGTATTTACCAACATTTATGTGCGATATCCCTCCATCTATCCAGTTGCATTGTATATTCTTAAGGCTAATGTTGATATATTTCTACATACATGTAATATATTTGAGTGAATGACCCCCAAAAGGCGAAACTTTTCCTTCTGCATAGATCTAAAGGCCGGTGTGTCATCAGTTTCCTTTTTTTTATCACATTTATTACAAACTTGCAACACAATTTCATTCACTTTTGCCATGTTCAAACATGTTTTTTTAAACCACGTCATATACATTATATATTCATACATACACCGAATCAGTATAAAATATAGCATGAGATAGCGAGTTAATTTTGAAAGTCTGCATACAGACGGTGTAATTAACAAAGAGTAAATATTTTTGTGAATGTATACCACAGTAAAATGCGTTCAATTTCAGACGATCCATTCAAGCAAGTGGTTGTTGGCCAAGAAATGTGTAATGAAATGCCACTTCAGTTTAAAAATGAGAGGTCTATTCTCACCAACAGTGTGTTATTCAAGTTTGCACGTTGTTTTCGACGATTTTACATGCTCTACAACTTCATAAAAAGTTTAAGTCGGTGTTTTTTTTTTCTTGTTAAAAGTGTCGTAAATTCATATTCCACGAGTGTGTGTGTGGCGAAGCACTCTTTACATTTTGAATAAAATATGAATGTATGTTAAGGTCATTTAAAAGCTGCATAGCTCCCAACAAAACACCTGGAAACAGTTATTTAACATAAATATAAATGGGATATAGACGACGATTTTGTGTAGCTACGTCGAATCGTATATTGTTTTGGAAACGGCAAAATGTAATTACAGATGGTGTTCCAACGCATTTCACAATCACTTCTCTCTTGGCTTATCGATGTGTATTTTATGGATGTTGCTCGAATTGCAATTACGGATAAAACCACTAAGTTTGTCATGAGTTATGACCAACACTTTTACTTACACACACACACAAACATAACTGAATAAGCAAAAACTCAATTCGATAGATAATTCGATTTTGTATGATTGAAACATATGGGGCACAGTATGAGGGAGATAGGACTTTCTCTCAGAATTTGCCATAAACTGCACTAATCCAGAGATTTACATTTAATTGAAATCGAATCGAATCGATCGTTGGATTAGCAAAATATTACTTTCGAAAGTTTCTTGAAAAATAATATTTTCTTTTTACTTCAAAGTGAACGCGTAAATTTCATTTTATAATGCTTTTTCACTTGAAAATCGGATAAAAAATCGTTGTCTGAATATAATATTTTGTGTTTGTAAAAACCAGATTATGCAGCCGAATTACAAAATATGCTGTGGTAAGTAGAATTTCAAAATCCGTTTCGGCTTGAATTTGGCGTTAACACAGCGAAATGGTGTGGATCAAATGAGATGAAAAATACACTTTTGTCTCAAACACACACACATAGACACAACCAAAAAAAAGAGAGAGAACAAAATCGAAATTCAAGAGAAATGAGCCCATTCTTACAGATTACCAATTAAACGCCAACATATTAACGAGCACTTAAATCTTTGACTCGTTGAATGCGATTTTAATGGGAAATATGGTGAACATTAACGTTTACATCTTTTTCGCTGGGATTTTGAAAGTCACATTCGATTTGAAATTGCACATGAGCGGCGCAATAAGACGCGCAATGTCGAATTTTTTGCCAAAAGCTTTTGGTTGAGCTTTGCTCGGAATTGTGTATGTTTTTTTTTTCTTCAGTGATTTCTTTTAGGTTCTATGTGTTTGCGACTAAAATGCCTGCGTTTTTGCTTATCTTCTATTTCGTTGGATAATGCAAATAATTTCGCTTATGCTGAATAAACTAAATGAATATGAATTTGAATATGGAAAAATGAAAGATAAATATCAGCGAGTGAAAAGTCTGTGCGTCACATAAGAAAGTTGAGCACAAACAGTATGTAGTAAAAGGATATCGTATCGCTAGAGAAAGAACGAAAGACGGACGATGAAAGAAAAGGAACCAGACAAGAGAGAGAGAGTGATAGAAGACACATTTAGAAGAGAATTATCAACGAACTTTAGAAAAATAGAATTTATGATTATGATCCAATTTTGTTTACTTTGTATTATGATTCTCATTTTATCTATTTTCTCATGTTGATCGAAATAGTACTATGAAGATGCGACGAGGGTTAAGGCAGACGTTAAAATATTTCCCGTTCCAGTACAGTATACCGATATCAACTCACGGTACATGTACGGTTTTGTTGAAAATTGATTAAAGTTTTAAATTTCTTTTACTTTGATATTGGTGCGTTTACAAGTGTTGGCATTTTTGTGGTAGAAGTCGAACAGAATTAAAAAATAATTGCTTTCGAAACCATGAAATATTCAACGTATCAAATAATTTAAACTTTTTCGATTGCAAATTGAAATTCCATAAAGAAGACGTTTTTTGTTGTATTTCTATTGAATTGTATGTGCTTTAATTAAACAATTTACTTCAAATCGAACGTTATTTATCTATTTGTTTGCACTTGACGGTACTGTATTTCTATTCTGGTCTTTATATGCAATCATTCCGTAAAAAAACATTTTGATTATATCAAATTATCAAAAAGGTCGAATATCTAAAAAATATTTTCTTACAAAAAAGCTCTTCATGTCCATGTGTTTCTCATCAATTCCACGATTGTTCCATTGTGAACTTGAACTGGATGTGACGTGGTTCAAAGACGATGTGAAGCTTATAACAAAACGAAAAGATTTGAAGAGAAATGGGAACATTATCCAATGGAATAAAACTAGAAAAATTGCCGTAAGTTGAATTGAGTTGAAAATGAATAGGCACTATTTCTTAACATTTTACCGTGTATTTGCAAATAATTTTCAATTTTTCATGCGAGTTATATGAACGCAGGTCTATGTTGTGTGTGTGTGTATTTTGAGCCGATGAAATAAAATCACTTCCTTTTCTATCTCTCCTTCTCTCGCATACATACACACACACAAACACACAACGAATTAATAATGAATTCGTCTCATAAGTTGTTCAGGTCGTTAGCAAAGTTGGTGCGAAAAAAGTGAGAAAAAAAAGAAACGATCGGATTTTCAGAATTCAATTTCTAAGCATACTTACTGTCGTATACTTTTACATGATGGCATTTTCTTTTCATGCCGAAAATGAAGTGAAGCGTGAGCTTATACGGAACACTCTTTCTCGTTGATGTTGGTGAAACGCGTACCCACACATACGCGACCGGAAAATCCCCACACACCAGTAGCAACAAAAGCAATTCGAATATTCAGTAAAATTGTTTCAATTTCATGTTAATCATACTGCAAATGGTGAACGGCTCGATACATTTCGATTGCAAAAACAATAACATTTGCATTTGGATGCCATTTATTTTACAAGTCACCGTCAGTGTGTTGGCTTAAGTAAAATGATGACAAAACCAACCGATATTATCATCATTATCGTCGTCTACGTTGCCTACATATCAGCTCTCTTGCCACTCAAGCACACATACACACACGTACACACACATA